AGTTCCAGCTAGTACAATCTGTTTTGGATTTACATCAGCCACCTAGAAGTCAAGGTCTCTGTACACCAAGATCCTGAGAATTCGGCTCTCTTGCACTTTTGTTTTCTGTGGGTGTATCTTGGCACTGTTAGAAACAGATAAGGGATTACTAAACACAGCTGACAATAGCTACAACAGCTTCAGAGTAAGGTCTCAACCATTGCCACAGGGTCCTCTGCTAACTGGGTACTCCATCGTTTTAGCCTAAGAGGTAGCCGTGGGCACAAATTGCTGATGTGCTCAGCGCATGGCATGTTCTTAACGAGAGCTACAGCTTTCCCTGATTGCAGGGGAAATTCCTGGCGATTTGTTCCAAGCATGGTCAGTCAGTGCTTACAAACTGTGGTCCCGGACTTAAAATAATCCCTCGGCACGCACGGCGGAGCCCGCAGTTTTAAAGCTGAGGCGGAGAAAGCCAAGAGGCTTTTCCAAACCATTCCTCTCTTGCGTTGCTTCATCTCACATGCCAGAACCCACTGCACTTGTTCCTTGGGATCCTTCAAAACACTCCTAGGTCACGAGCAGGGATGAAATTGTTTTCTCCTTAAGCTTTGCCTGCTGCCTCCTGCTCATGGTACAACCAGAGGAGCCATCTCCTCCTCTTTTGGTCACTCACTGGACAGACAGAAGCACTTCGGGGCTGCGTCCTTCCAGCCCAGTCTGGTTGCTTTGGAAGAGCTCTGCTTTCTCACTATTCCCATCTTAAGACACGGCTACACCATAAATTACTGTAATGTAAAGCTGGAGCGGGGGGGCAGATTTACAGCGTCACAGCTGCTTTGCATTAACGGCCTGTGAGAATGCTCTTTGCCTGCACTACTTGCACTGGAGAATCTCCCATCCCGTGCTCAGGTGAGCAGTTACCCTGCAGTGCCAGGCACATTGTAAATCCATGCCCCACACCATCTCGGGATGACTTGCTCTGGTAGCCAGGCCCAAGGAGAAACCTCTCTGCTCCTTTCCCAATGACTTCTCCTTTCCTCTGTGCGCTGAGAAAGAGAATGGTCTCAAACCAGCCACTTCTGAAGTCTGCGAGGCTCTTGGAGATGCGCCCCTCCTCACCCAGTCCGTACGAGGGGCCCTTTCACGCAAAGAAAAACAGGAATATGAAATTTTATGTACGTGGGGCCACATCTGGCCATAACATCACCGCAGCAACATGTGCTGCGCATTCCCCAACGCCAGCGGAGTTCAACACATTCCTGAGAGCAGCAGTTATGATTTCAAGGCCCTGGAATTTGGGAAGCAGAAATGCTGTCTCTTGCTGCGGAGACGGGGGCGTGGGACTGTTTCTCATCGCTGCCAAGCTCTTCTTGATTTGCAGCAGAAACTAATTCTGAAGGGCAGCAAAGTGCCAGAGGCTGGTCATTATGAAAGACTTCGGAGGAAGCCGAACAGCAAGCCTTTCTCTTGTTTTGGCTATGTCAAATGGAAAAGGTAGAAGAATAAGTGAAAAAGACACCAGACCACAACACCGCATGACCATCTGTTTATTTAAAGTTCAAGGAAAGCCAGCTACAAAGGTACAACACACAGTTGCACCTGACTTCTCTTCCCACGGGAGACACTAAATATCCCATACAACCCCTGGTCTCTGGTTCCCAAAGTCTTTCTTACAGACAACTCAACACGATGCTGTCACCTTGTCACACAGAAGTCTGCAGACATATAAACCGTGTCCCCCAGTGCCCAGAGCTTTTGTAAGGGACAGCAGCTCCTTTTATCACTTATTAACATTTTAAGATATTACCTAATCTCTCATCACCCAGACTTAGTGGAACAGGCAGCCTTAGAGCAGCCAGGACAGCGAGGGGACCACTTGTGGAACCGCAGCAGCTACTAACCCTCCGTTCTCCTTCCAGCACGGCTTCTGCAAGATCCCCACGCTTGAAGAAACCGGTAAGAGACTGCGAGTGCCAAGAGGAGGGATGCTGAGATGCCTACTAGATAAAAGCAAGGGACTGACCTCTCTGCTGAGCCCTGGACTGGCAGTATGCTTTCATTCACTGCCTAAACAGCAGTCCCTACCTAGGAAAGACTCCGTTTCATGAGTATTCATGAAGTCACAGCTCTGGTGGAGAAATCAATGATCCCTGAATCAGATTCTAATTCAAATGAAGTGGTCTCTTCCTTACTCTTTTAATTACTCTGTCAAACCAAGAACACACACCCCCCTCACCATGCACAAACACACACCTCTACGTTATGCGCGACTGGACAAATGCAAAGACAACCTTTGCTCAACGTTCAATCATCAGCGTAGCGCCGACTAAGATACAGAGTAGTTTGTGAAGTATTATATTGCTGTTAAAGAAATCAGTAATGAACCGTTCATCAGAACACCATGACAGCTCTGGTCCCTTTATCTCAAAAGGGAAATAGCGGGATTTAAGGGGTCCAAGAATCAGACAAAAAGAACAATTACAGCATGGAAAAAACTTTCAAGTGATGAGAGATTTAAAGGATTTGGATTGTTTACCAAAAAAAAACAAAAACCGACAACAACAAATAAATGAAGTCACGATACAAGTTCACAAAACTACAAGCGGCCTGGAAATAGGAAACTTCCACTCACCTCATTTCTTAACGCAAGCACGAGAGGGCATTCAATGAAACCCAGAGGAGTCAAATGATAGGTGCAATGAAAAGGTAATACTTTCATCCAACGCTCTGCTCAACTGGGGAATTTCTTACCATAGTATCGTACTGAAACTCAACACCTGACAGGGGTCGAAGTGAGATATACGTAAGAATATTCAGAATACTAGTGTTAAAAAAACAACACCTTGAAGTTTACCCAAACCTCTAACAGTTCAGGGGTACGGAAAGCTTTCTCTGGGGACACGTTATCCTGGAACCACTTACGTCAAGAGTCTTGAACCCCTTTTAAGCCTTACCAGTGGAAGCGTCCCACGTGTAGGCACTTCCATTTTAACTCTTCACCTCCAGCTGCAAATGAGAGGGTCAACTGATGGGACACCGCAACAGTGAAAATACCTGGTCAGAGGCAAGCAGGTGCTGGGAATGAACAGAAACCTCTATTTTTTTGCTGCTTTGCTACTGAATCCCAGCTTTGTAGGAATCACTTAGGGAAAGCTCCCCAGACCTCGCTCCTCGACGGTCCCCAAAAAGTGCGATGACCGACGCTTCACCTGGCTTATAGCCTTGGATCTTGCTTTTTCTTCCTCTCGCTAAGCACGCAAGGGCCAGCCCCGTACAGCCAGAGGGCAAATACCCTCCTAGAGCCCTCAAGGATCCTCAGCTGACATGGAGGACGTAAGGTCAAACCACTCCTACTAGCGGCATCAGAGTGACACAATCTGACACTCATTTCCAAGACGATAAGAGCCAGCAGAACAGGAAACGAGCGTTTTTCCGGCTGGCTAGAGTGGTGATTTGGCACAGAGCCCGCTCTCTACGTATGCACTGACTCAACAGGAAAATATTAAGTGGAGAAAAAAATCCTTGATTAGAGTATTTTTTTAAAGAGGCTGCCTAGAGTGTTCTCTTTCTTCCCTTCTAATCTGCCATATGATTAGCTTCCCTCTGGTGATGTGGTTTACCAGGAATGAATTTCCTGATACATAACACAAGCCAGACAGCATTTTAGGGTTTGCAACCCTGCTATGTTCTCCCTCTGTTAAGTGAGGTTCAGTCTTCAACCCAGAGACTTTATTTTCAACAACCATGCAGCAAGACTGCAAGAAACAGCGCCGAGACCACCAATTAATGCCTGCAAGCTTTACGATCCTGAATAGATACTTCAGCCTCTAACTTTCCACTCCGTGAAGGATGAGCATTTGCACATTTCAAACACAACCACAAGTTTCCAGTTTCCCCACCAAGTTTTATCAAGAATGCGCAATATTAAGGTGAAGTGTTCCTTCCGCGACCTTATTTGTTTTCACGCATCTCCTAGTCTAAAAGGTCAGTTGCAGTTTAATATCTCGTCCGAATTGAAGAGGCTGGCAGGAGGACCAGAAAGCTTGCCTTCTCCCAGCACTGCAACACGCCCGAGGCTCCCACCACCACCTCGCCGCGGCGCACGGCCGTTCCCAGCCCATCCTCGGCTTGTCATCCTGCCTCCCCACCTCTCTTCTTGTTCAGGATGAAACCGCACTTCCTAACAGCCGACCTACTCGCCTCTTCCTACTTTGTTCCATTTATTCGAACAAGCATAAATTAAACAAGAGCAAACGAAACGTAAGGCTTTCCTCTATCTCAGACCTCAACGCTTTTACACACCCGCTTTCCCCGAGCCTGTATCTTTTATCTCCCCTCTTTCTGTGCTCCGTTACCTGTCTCTTTTGCCTCTTCCTTTATTAAGATAAGCTTGTCCACTCTCACGTCAACCCTGTAGAATATTCAGCTAATAAAGACTACAAAAAGAGCAATTTATTCCACGTATCTTACTAAACGCTATTTCTCCATTCTTATTGTAACTCCCATTTCTCTCTCCTTCTGTACTTTTTTGAGGGGTAATCAGTCCTTTGCCTCCTTTCTCTTACTAGCATTCATTTTTGTAATTCATTTTACTGTCCCACTTCTTAGAAGAGTTACAGAGTTGCAGCATCCTCTATAAAACATGTGAAATGGAAAATCCCGAACAGAGAGGACATGGGGCACTTTCACCGCATTTAAAATGGAAGTCAGGCCATGCCCCAAAGCAGCCTCACCCAACAGCGAAGCACATTCCTCTTCAATGAGTATTTCCTATGATTTTTCAAGTTGCTTTTAGTTTCTGTTACAGAATCAAGAATGAACTGGTGCCTAATAAACTTGGGTGCTACCTGTAAAGTCACTGCAAGGTTCGAGCCACACAAAGACATTAGTCACTGATCAAGTTTTATACATTGGTCACAGACAAGACAGCTCTGTCCAATTTTGAGCAGCAAAGCTGAGAATCGGATGAGAGGAAAAGGAGGAGGCTGGGAACGCTCTGCTCCAGTGCCAGGTCTTACCTGTGAAAGCCCAGGGGACGATGCATGTCCCGGTGGCGTTGCAGCAAGATTTGGGTGTCCCTTATTTATTTCATGTGCAGTGTAAGGGGATGGGGCAGGAGGACCCGGTTGTCTTGCTACTTGTGTTACCTGTGTGGAGATAAACTGTTAGTAAAACATAATATTAGTAATCCAATCTGTATAGATACTGTCATCATCTTTTTACAAAAGCAGCTAGCAGCACCCTTTCATATATACAGAAAATAATCTATATTTATGGAAGTGAAACACTGTACAAGTTAGTAACTATTTGTATGATTCAGGAAAATGGGGAAGGATCAAAAAATCAGCTGGAGTCATGGGTGGAAACGTGTAAGAAATGGATGAGCTTCACTGCTGTGGTCTTGCTTTGCAATGTCCCTTTGCCTTCAGGCCTGGGGTCTTCCGATCTTTCCGTTATAAGCCATATCAAACAATAATGTGATTTTGCAAAAGGGTGCACATGACCAGTGACCCAAAAACAAAGTAAGGGGAAAATTTGCACCCTCCCCTCTAAAAAGGGAAAAAAAGGACTGCACAGAGGCCTTGTTAGCTGAGGGGCTTGCCACCAGCAAAGAATGAAACACCAAAGCAATTCTTGCATATACTTATCTCCTTTCTCAGCTTCTATAAAAAAAAAACCAAACCTAATCAAAACACATTAAGAAAAATGTTGTAAAATATATTCACGACACGCATGCTTGCTCCACTGTACTATGTCCATAATGGAAGTGTTTTAAATATAATATACATAGTGACCACATTAAAAAAAGGAGACTCAAAGGAAAAAAAGAATCACATAACCATTGGGTGACACCTCCCCCCCCCAGTTCAACACAACTAAATTTTTACAGTTTTGGTTAAAGCTTATAGTCCAGCACTCACTTCTCACTGACCTTTTCTCAGACATGTATTTTGCTTGCTGAAAAGCACTGCTTGGCTACAGGCACTTAAAAGCACAAAACCAGGCAATGCTTAGAAGGGGACGTTGCCACCGCGTAGGGAGGTATGCGTGCATATATTTCCCCGGCATCGGAAAAGCAAGCAGAAGGAAATTCCTGGCTCTTGATCTTTTAACGGAGTATTAGCACCAAGCTCCAAGAGAGCCGAGTATGAGAGCAGAAGCCACAGAGTTCACGACTAAATGCTTTTTCTGAGTCGTTTTATGGCACTCCAAGTATCGATGCCTGTCGTTACGTTACCTAAACCACTAAAACAGCTGCACCGGCAACGAGAATGACGACGTGCAATTTCTCAAGGCTTGGAAACAGTCCGGAATCGTTTGCTGCGGGAAGATTTACAGCACCCTTGTGCTCATCAGAGGAAAGGGTGGGTCAAGACAGAGAAGCTCATCCTCTGTCCCCAAGTGGATCCTTCCTTTCCCCGGGGTGGAATCCTTTTTTTTTTTTGGCTGATCTAGACTGGCAGGTGTGCGCACACAGCCTCAGTCGGTGAATCGAAACCAGCGTTACAAGAGAGCATCATAAAACTTTCCACTTCCCATCCCCAAGAAAATCAAAGTCTCTTACGCGACTCCTAAGGCAACCTTGAAAGGCTTGTCATGTCAATCGTACGGTAGTTGGTGCTCAGAAGTGACTATGTATCATGACGGATATCAAAAAATGCAGTTAAGGGAGGGAGATGGAAGCAAAGGCAACACAAAATACATGGAAATCATTCATCTGAACAGCCCCATCAGCAGGCTAAGCGTGTACTCATCACCAAGATGCCTCCTTGGATGTCGCTTGTCGTGGAGAAGAGGTTATTTTGCAATAGCTGTGGTACTTCAAACACCGCCAGCTTGTATCTCCCTACACTAACAAGTGCCCACACTACTCCAGCTAAGGCCAGAGCCATCCGAAATCCTCTGATCTGCAACAGCACCCGAGTCCACACAGACATTTGACAAGGGGGACGAGGGCACTAGTAATATCGCAGGTTAGTGTGAGCATTCACCAGCCCTCCTCAGAAATTAAAGCATGCAAATAACCTAGGTTGGAGGTTAATGAAAGACTGCAAGGAATGCTGCTCTGAATTGGGCATGAAATCTGAAAGCCAAACCGAAAGGAAAGCTGTGCAGCTGCGTGAGCGACGGTCCACATTCTGCAATGCAGCAGAGAAGGAGCAGAGACGTCACAGACACAGGTCTGGACCTACTAAAACTTGCTTTAAAGCCTAATTAAGGCAACCGAATGATCATAAACCCATACCATCTCGATACTGTGGCAGCAACGCACTTGGACAGTATCTGATGGGAGTCTTACCGCTGACCTGAAAGGACCTCCTACTAAGCCAAGCCTAGCTTAGCGGACCCACAAAAAAGACCAGCTGCCCTTCCAGCACGAGCGAAAGCACAGCGCCTTTCACACCAGCTACAGCAACGCAGGTACTTCCACACCTTCATCTTGGCTCCTACAACAAATTACTTACAAAGAAACTAAAATGCAGGATACAGGTTTGAATGTTAAAAGGTGATAAAGGGAGGGAAACTCACTGAATTTGTGTGTTTATTCACTAATTTAAAAAAATCAACCAGGGAGAGACTCCACTAGCTCATCACTTGTGTAATGAGATGTTTGCCCTCATAGTGCCTGAGGTTTGGTTTTCTGTTTATTAAAAGGGATTCTGCAGAACATAAACTTGGTCTGTGATTACTATGGAAGGAAGTATCCTTCTTAAATCTAAAGATTAAGTTATTCTCCTAAAAATGAACACACAAAACTACATATTAATTTCCTAGAGCATCACTTTCCTTTTTCCTTAAGTGAGTAGCAAGAGGCTAACTTTAGTTTTCCAGTAAGCCTTAATCCAGTGTTTTAAAGGAAATAATGAATGAAACATTAAATAAAAACTCAGGCTAGAATTCTCCTCTTCTTTTTTTTTGAGCTTAAATATTTTGGTTTTAGCATCTTTGGCAAGTTTGGTATTTTACATCCCCCTCCAACTACCTAATTTCAGATACATAGTTATGTCCATGAAACATTCAGGTTTGATCAGAACGGACGGGGCACGCCACAAAAATCCCTTGATTACAGGGATGATAGTTTATCACTAAGAACAGCTCTTTTCCTAAACAAATAATTAAAAAAAAAAAAAGGGGGTTCAGACTTGGACAGAACCTCTTTCCTTCCGGCATTCAATTTCTTTGCTCAGGCTGGTGCAAACAGCTTCAAAGCAGTGCTGCCAGCACCCGAGGAACGGAGCATCCCTCTTGCACACTTCCCACCGCAGCCGGGCAGGGGAACGAGTCGGCCTCCTGACCCAGATCCTTCCTTTAAGCACAGGGTAGCTGGAGCAGCTAATCCTCCCTAATCTCTGTTCTACAGGATTCTCTTCATCGCAGGAAGATCCCCTTAAAGGACACAAAGGTGAGTCACAGTATCTCTGCGGGGTGTGAAACTCTTGGGGGGCCACCAACAGGCACCCCGTTGCAGAAAAGCCACCAAATGAACACCCAAAGCAGCAAATGATGGAGTCAAGCCTCATGGGGCAAGTAGGTTCTTCAACACCTCACTTTCACATTACCTTCTTTATCATCAGCTGGCTCGGAGTTGGGCAACCTGACACGAGGTTGTACCTACTCCAAAGAAACACAGTGAGATTGCAATTAAAATCCAGATAATTTCAATCAACGTTGGGTCTAGCTGTGCTACAGAAACGCTGCTCAAGGCTACGCCCAACCAACTTACACGCACTTCTCTCCAAATTGGTATACCAAATTAACACTCGTTTCTAATCAGTTCACATCCAGGAGTCACCATTGTTCCTTTGCTTATAAAAGTTTATCCCAAAGTATTTTTGGTTCAAGCTTCAGCGTTTGAGATCACGACATGTTACTGAGGCAGTTACGAACCTCCACCGTAATCTGCCAAAAAAGGTTATTTGTGTGAGAACGGGGCGTACATTAAGATAGTTATTCTTCTTCTCTGATTCCCAACTCATGCCTCACGCTGAATTTGAGGGGCACATCTGCTTCTGATCATTACTCCATATTCATTTCGTTTTCAACAGAAATCAGCCCCCGCTACTCTGGGTGTGGGCACACACAGCAGCCTGCGATATTTAAGGTCACCGTAGGTGCAGGTCCCTTTGTTAGAAGTCAGTGTCTCTCCCCCAAACCCCAAGCCAAAGAGCTGCTTTGAACAGACTTCTTTGAAATATTTTACAACAGAAACATTTTTCATTCTTCTTCCATTCCCCTTTCCAGATTCCACAGGTTTGGGATCTTACAGCAGATGTAAAAGTAATTGCCTTAATTTCCTGCAGTATAAAGAATTAGGAAGCACCTCGCAAGAAGCTGCTGACAGGACAAACCCCAAACTTTTATGTCCAAAAGTAGCTCTTACGGTATATGGCACTCTCCTTTACAGATGAGGGGAAATTATTACGAGATTAGTTCACTGAAATAATTACTTCCAACTGCGATTTGCTTTAAAATACTCTACTGCTGGATTTATTTATTTTAAAAAAACAACCCAACCTACCAAGTATCAGTATTTTCTAGAGTATTACTACATAAAATAAATGAAGATGATATATGACAAGCTTAGGTGTTTTTGTTTTTAATACCAGTATGATTTCATTGAGAAAGAGGTTCTGCAAAGTTTTGTTGGGAATTTTAAGCATATCCACGTTCTTGGACAAACTGGATTTCATCTCACGAATCACACTTTGCTTCTTTCTCACCTCCTATCTCTGCCCTACAGGAAAACGCGTTCCTCCGCTTTTATTTCAGGGGAGATTATTGGGGCTCATAGTGAAAGCCACATGATTTTCCATTCCCATTTTTGGCAAGCAGCACATAGTTCTGGAAAAAAAAAAAAAGAGCTCAGGAATGCACAACTGAGGTCCTGAGAATGCATATGGAAAGTTATGGAATGGATAACCAACGTATTTTTCATCTTTGTCTAACTAAAAATAGTGGTTTCATCTGTGGGTTGCCCATATCTCAAATGATAGGTCCTCCCACCCCATGCATGACATACCCATAGGGAAAACACCGAGGCAGCTCAGTCACTGCACGGTGCTATCAGACCACAGACCTCTTATCATAATCCGCGTGGAAACCCACATACGTTAACCAGCAAATAAAATGCGTACATCAAAAAGCAGTCCCTGGCTGCTGAAGAAAGTGCTCTTCCACACCTCTGTACTACATGACTCTTGTAAAATCTAGACAAAGTATATCTAAACATCATAAACTAAAAAATGACCTATTTGTTGCAAACCCAGATCTTAAATACACAACGCTACTACTCTTGTAATAAACCAGAGACCCATGATGAATGAATTTGTCAAGGACCTCCGGTCACGTGCCTCTTCCATACTAATTCATTTTCGCTCGGACCTTCTCTAAATTTGCAATCTGCCAAGGGTTTCAAATAGAAGCTCAAAAGGAACCTATCTGAGAAATTTCTCTCCTGTCCCTAAAACATGGAATTTTCTTTCTAACTTGTGTTTTCCTAAAGCCTAGAACCAAGATACTCCCAGCCCTGGCTTCTATTCCTGTAACATATCAAGGAGTGATATTTTTCCACGCTGAAAAAGCTATTTTAGGTCATTCTTCACAGTTACTTTTATATTTTACATTAACTTAGATTTTTACAGTCATATTTTCCCACAGGCATCTGAATTATGTCTTTGGATGAAAGAATTGGGGAAAAAAAAGCCTACCTCCTTTCCGCCCCCCCACAAAGGAATTTAGATATTTTTAAAGTGGTTTTTAAGTGTTGTATGGGGTATAAAGGATAATATAAAGTGAATTATTTATTACAACTGTTTGTACATTTATGTTCCTTTGGCTTTGCTTTTTCACATACATACAGCTGTATATACTCACATACATATGTAGATGATACTGAGGACAGAGCTAGCAAAAAACCCCCAAAACCAGTCCGCAGCTCGAGTCTGTCGATCCACTGGTGTCAAAGCCACAAACCTCAAAAGCTTAAACCCTCATTAGAGTTGTACCCCGACCTTTCCGACTCACCTGGATGGAAATCCACTGCTGGCTGGCCACCAGACCATCCATGGTCAAGCCTGGGTCTTAGTGCTACTACGGCTACTACCAGCTCTGCCTCCCTTAGACCGACGGGCACCGGACAGCACTTTTGCACTTAATCCTGCGCAAAGCTTGGCTTTGCATCGTTTGGCAGCCGTCTCTCTGGTAGAAGAGGCGATCACAAAACTCTTCTCTAGAGCCCAAAAAAGGAAGGGGCTAAAGATGCTCCAGACCCGGACCCCGCACATGGAGGAGATGGAGCTGATAACCCCTTTGCCCGTTATATGTGCCAACAGGGGGAAGGAGAAAACCTTGTACAGCAGCTTCTGTTTTTCTATAAGCAGCTTATGTTACCGCATAAAATACAGTGAATTTCTCCCATCTACAGCTTTTCTTCCTGTTTTCCAAATCATTAAAAGAGCAGCTTAAAAGCATTTTTTTGACATTAAAGATATTTGCACTATCCCACCAGAAAAGCAAAATATTACTTTCCCAGGGCTGTGTTGATTTAGCAAAGCTTACAAATAACACTGGGCTTCCAGCTATTACCATTTGAAAAAAAGGAAATGAATAAAAGGAAAACGGTATCATAGTTCACAAATAAACGTCGCTACGTTTCTAAGTTAAACTTCCTCGATAACCAAGCTTTATAAACAAACACGTAGGACAGCAAGCCAAAAAGCACCTATCCCAAATATTCAATCTACAATCAAAACGTATCTTCCTCTGTGTAACGAGATGTTTCACGTGAAAAACAATCCCTCCTTGATTGTTTTTCTGACAAGAAACTATTAGAAACGTGCAGCCACTAATACACGCCAACAAGCCAGTCTTCAAGATGCAGGAGGCAGGAAAGAGATGGAGCGACAGACTGAAAATATGGCCAGTAACATTTTTACTCAGGTTAAACTCTGCTAGGAAAACCCACTCTCTTATCTGCTAAATAAAACTGCAGACACTTAACGAAAAAAGGAATGGACCCCGAAGTCCCCAATATTTCTTCTTTTCCTACTCACATGCAACAAAAAAGGTCTTAATTCAGCATCATTTATTTTAGCAGGCAAAAAAAAAAAAAGTTGCCTTTTTTTAACTGACTGCTCTTTAAATTGTGTGGAGTTTAATTGTATTGTTTTTTAAAAACCCTTATGCTTGGAAAGCGCACTCCCTTCAAAAGCAACGCAACCGCGGTGCCGCCAGCGGGCAGGACCCTCCGCAGATACTCACAGTGCTGTACACGGCGGAGACGGTCGGAGTGAAGATCCGATCCTCGAGGGGCTGCTGAACAGGACCTCGGGGGATTCTGCAATACAGCAAGTTAAGGAAAGCAACGTCGAAGGAAGGGTGGCGTTTCGAGTGATACACACAGCCAACAGGTCGTCCATCGACGCAGCGCGTCACCTTCCACGCTCGGGCAGACACACAAACATCTCCGAGGCACTCACATGCAACCAGGCAGCAACGATCCTTCACGGTTTTCCAAAAGAGGAGCAAAGTGTGGCTTCAAAAGGCGGATACCACCGACAAACGCAGCAAGAGAAACCGAAAGCAAACAAATCGCCGAACAATCTACAAAACCTTCGTCCTGTCAAGAGAATCCCCAACCTCTTTTTTTTTTTTTTTTTTTTTTTAAAGAGTAAGGGAAAAAACCCAAAACCCACAAGCCCTTCGCATTCAGCGAGACAAACCCTGCTGATCAGCAGGGCATTTTCTGACAAAGGCAGCGCCTGTTTTGCTAACCACGCAGGAATCACGTTATAATTGTTTCCTTGTTTGCCTCTCTTCAACCAGTAACTCCTTTCCTCATCCACCCACCAAAATCGCTTCTAAAAGGGGCTGTCAGAGAGATTTTAAGCTGCAGGGTTATTTAGAGGTGAATAGCAATAGTTTTCTTAAATTGGTATGGTATTGTGGGAATCTGGAGAGGGGGAAAGACTTTATGCAACAAATAAGCTAGAATTTGTTTTACCTGCGGAATAAAACAAGGGGATGCAGGTATTAAAAAGAAAAAAGCTTCCTGACTTACGTAACACCTTGTGGCCTTAGGTCCAGCATATGTCTGCTCAAGACCTGACACCCATCATCATAAAAAAAGCCACGCTTAACTTGCTGAAAAATTTTCTATAAATGCCATATTCAGGTTTCACCGTTTTGCTGCTTACACTTTTTGCGTCAAAGCCTCTCAGAAAACGAGAGCAGATTGATTAAGTTTCTTGCACACAAGCCAGCAACACAGACCTTGGGTGTTAACAGACAGCGGATGCTTAAAAAAACCCATAAAATCATGAAAACACTCTTGACTTTTATTCTTGGGAGAAAAACACACCCATAAGTTAAGTTTTCAAGCTGACCCAGGTTCAGTCTTGCAAGAGAGTCTTTGCATTACAAGTTTGAGCTCCAAAGAAATGCTGCTGCCTGAACCTTTGCAGAGACCAACATCACGGCGGCAGGAGAGCCCCTGCCAGCGCTGACAAGACTCGAGAGCGATCCAAGCTCCACAATCCCACCTGCTCCCCTTCCTTAAAACACACAAAACTTCAAGGTTGAGGTAAGGACCCTTCAGACGCGACCTGCTCTGCGTCTGTCGACCGCCTGCAGCACGCCCCGGCTGGATCTCCTCCTCCAAGACCAGTGCTAAGGCAGAACAGAGACAAATTTACACCATCACGCTATTTTGATACTGAACACATCGCTAAAGAGGTCCACCCTCACCAAGCATCCCCAGAAATTGTTCTAAAAACTTCCAATTTTGTTATATATTTGCTGTTTGAATGCCAGACATGAGAAAAACGCTGCATTATAGGTTTATGCACGGAAAAGACCACCCCTGACCTTCACAACACCTTTGCACATAAGTCACGTCCCCGTTAGAGCCTGGCAGGTATAAAACAGGACGCCTACGACCAGCTCCGGATTGCGAACACCAAGATGAGGATCTGGCACCGCTGGTTCCCAAGACACTGCTCGCTCAGCCTACAGCTCTTTTTTTTTTTCTTTTGTTTTTTTCAAGTGCAAGAATTTATTTTCAGGGTCTAAGGCTTGTCTTCAATTTGCAGGCTTGCCAGTTCGCGCATTAAGTGGTATCATTTGATAAAATAAAGAGGTTTTTAACGACAAAATTGGATGTAAAATCCTGACTTCAGCGAAGCAACGCGAAGATTTGCCACAGACCTCAACGGAGCCGAGGCGTCACTCCTCAGCCTTCATCCCGAGGGTCTTACGTTCGTTCCCGAGTTTCAGAAAACACCGACAGAAAGCCAAAATTTGGGAGAGGAGGATTAGAAACACACTGCAAGACGGAACAAAAACTCACATCATTTCTGCATGCCGCTGCCATAGCAGCCTACCCTCACACCCATAACCATCTTCGGATAAAGAAGGATAGGGCGGAGGCATGGTTTTAAGCTGCTGGCCTTTGGTCACAGCTGAGATTTCCAGTCTCAAGGCAGTTTTGCCAATTAATTGAAGCAATCGCTGCTTCAAAAGGGATCATTCCTGAGTTTGGAAAAAAACTGTTTCATCCTTGAGAAGGTTGGGATTTATTTTCTTATTTTAGAACTTATATAAGCCAGGAGGAGAAAATAATCTTCTTTGAGCAGAGTAACTTCTCTTTTTGCACCCAGGAAGAGCTGCCTAAAGGAATGAGCAAGTTTAGATGGACTTTCAGAGTTTGGGGTTGCCGTTTAAGATCACTTCTGGAAAGCGATGATTCCCATCAGATTAAAAAGAAACCTTTCAAGTCCTTTTTGCCAAAGGACTTAACTCAGATGTGAGACTGATAGGGACAAAAACGCCTTACATTCCGGTAAGCCTTAATGAGATATAATGCTTGGAGAAAGTGATTGTTTCCGACATCTAACTTCTGGCACCTACAGACCGACTCTCTGCGAAGAGCTGGGCCGGTGGAAAAGGGACCGCTTCCCCGCAAGCCTCCTGCAGCTTGTTTCTGCCCCCCCGGCAGAAGTGACTACCCTCCTTGCCCTCCCAAAGGACTGCATCCCGGGGTGATGGTTGCTGTTATTTCAGGAGAAGCGAGCCTGGGCAACTGCAAGAATTCATCAGCAGCCTCTTGCTAACAAGGCTCTTTTTTCCTAGAAGTGGTTAAGCGTGGCAGCACGGGAGACTCCACCACGGGACGTGCATGGGTGACGGCAGGCAGGTGGGAAGCAGAACCTCCTCCAGCAGCATCGTCTCATCCACGTCCACAGCAAACCATCCTCCGGGGCACTCGTCTTCTCTCACTACATAGAGATTTCGGTACCATCGAGAGCTGCACAACCCGAGACGCGACGCAAACTGCACGAACGCTGCCCTCCCGCTGCCCCCATCACACCAGCAAAGTTCAAGCGTTAAAGCAGAATCCCGCCTGGCTCCATTGCAGCGCTTAATTAACCACAGCACAAAGAAAATGAGGATACGCTGAATAATTCAGGCAGCTCTTTCATGTTACTATTCTGGCATGCTTAGATCCAATTCGGGAGGATCCTGAGCCCTCCTCCTCCTCCTATACCCTTGCCACCCACATCACCTTCTTCAGCTGCACCAATTCAAGTACTTGTGCAGCCACGCTCTGAAACGATCCAGGAGGGTGGGAAGGGGAGGAGGGGGACTGGAAAAGCAAAGCTAAGCCCAAACCTCACACCGTTTTCAGAGACCCTTCCATTACCGCTGAGAGGAAAGGCGGGCGACGACGCAGAAGAGCAGGAGCAAGGGGAACCTCTTAAATCACATCTGCAACCGGCAGGTTAGTAAAGTGGAGCTACAGCCTCTGCTTTTCACGCTTGTGTTGGGCGGAAAGACTCTTTACAGCTCGCCCTCCTCCATCAGCATCACGCTGAAAGCCGCGAGAAGGACGGCAGCATGGATTCTGGATTCTCTTCGTTGCTGTTTAGGGCTCATTAACTCATGAAATATATATATTTAAAAATCCATGTAAATGAAATACTGCTGGCAGATTAATAGAAGCAGGCACAGATGCAATGGGTGTTCCACCCAGTCCCCCTCTGGCTGCAGCAGTGATTGCAAGCTGGGGAATTTCAGGAGCTATTAAAGACCCAGTGGGAGAAGGCAGGCAAAGATAGTAACGCCGGCTGGAAACGAGACAGAATTTTTCTTGAAACTAAAAGTCTCTGCAAGAGGAGGAGGTTATCTTTTAATTAGACAACCATAGCCACGCTCTGAAGAGAGGGAGAATATACGACTTCTCTTCAAAAGCGATTAAAGAAAAAAATCCAAACCAGAGCTGCCTGTCAGCTGGAGCAGAGGCACCGACAAATGCAGAGTTAAGTAAGAGTCAGGAGGCATTTCTTGCAGAAATCTACCCCCCCGTATCACGTTTGTCTGCTTGCTCTCATCATGCTACAAAGCAGAAATACTGCAGGATTTTTGTGCGCTTTTACAGCGATGAACAACTTGAAAACATGCAGTAAAAGAGGCTCTCACAGCAAGAATTTGTACCGTTTTTTCTGCTCTGTTCCTACTTCCAAGATTGGAGGAGAAAAGAAAAAACACTATTACATTTTCTTCCAAAATGGATTCATTTTCCCCTTGAACGGTGCTTCTTACCTAAGCTCATTTTCAGCAACTAGCAACCATTTTATCCTGAGCACGCACTGATGGCCTCTTTCTTCGCTTCCAGCTGACGGTAACGAGTAAGCACCTTCTCACATGACTAAAAATATCTGCGGGCACCCAAGGGCGCGTATGCAAACGCGTTACACAAAAAACATTCCAGAACGAATGATTTTTACCCCTGCACAGAAACGGAGCGAGTCTCCCACCAGCTATCCCCGGGGTTATATAATCCCGAGGCGTGTCCCTGCTTGTACCAAAATTGTGTATGAAATGACTGAAAAAAAAAGATAAAACCATTAAGCAAGATTACAGGAGGGCAAGGAACCACATTGAATTCAAGCATGTCTTTCAGCTTTTTGATGCAAGGAATTTTTAACAACCCTCCGAGTCGGGAGGTATTTGATGACAGAGAGCTGTTATAAGAGCGCGTTTCTCCCCTGCAGCCTCTTCTCTATTTAACATGCAATTAAAATGCAGGAGGTGAGCATCCTAACAGCAGAAGCACCTAATTTAGCAGGTTCAGAAACCGCAAGAGCTCACTTAAAAGGGAAAAGCTATGCCAGCCACATCACCTTAAACTCCCCCAGCATCACCCCATCCTTTGCAGCTCCGGCATTCTCCGCTCGCTGGGCAAAGCCTTGTGTTCGGCATGCTCGATCCTACGTGGTCGCGAGCTCCCGGAGAGCTTCGTCAGCGAGCCAGCTCAAGCACCGGGTCTTCTCCCGCCGGCGGCAAAGCCCACAGCTGCATCCATGCCACCCGTGGGTGACTCCTGCCTGCCTCTCGCCCTCGCAAGCGGAGCTCCCACAGCACGCTTGTGGTCTTAAAGAGGTAGTGCAACGGGGGTCTTAGTGAGACCTCGGTGGGGTTTTGTACCCACGCTGCAGAAATCCCTCGGCTTCCCGAATCTTTCCTGCTGTGCACGCAGCGGAGAAGGGACGGGAGGTAGCCTCACGCTCCTCTTAGCGAGCTTATATAGGATAAAAATCACACCAGGCTTACGAAAGCAAGCATAAGGTAAAAAGATAAAACTCACCTACAGCATGGTGCGTTTTAGCAATCTGCACTGCAACATATGAAGAGCTTGGAAAGCTTCCATGCTCTCCCTATCGGAAGGAGAATTAAATAGCAGCACAAGCTCCTCAGCAAGAAGTTTTGCAACTTGTTTCCCTCGGCTTTGCGCCCGCTATCCCCAAACGCAGCAACGCACACCACCACGAACCCGTCTATTTAGCAAGTACTTCGTGAATCAATTTTCCCTTCAGAATAAATTTCTCTTTTGAGACGCCAAGTTTCAGAAGCCAGGGGAAGGAAAGCTAGTGAAACAAACTACAGCCTTTAAAAAAAACATGCAAAAAGAACCCCAAAAAACAAACTCCACCAAGTGGCATGTCACATGGGGGAAAAAAATAAAATATAGCTGATCAAAACAGTGCCATCCACTCTCTCCATGCCGAAATACTTACTACAACCATAAAAACTTCATCCAAGGGGAAAAAAAAAAGTCAAGTTACAAAGCAAACGACTCCAAACTTAGGAGAAAACAGGATTAATGTTGCCCGTGCGACCATAATTCAATCCCCCCGTGTATACGCAGAATCAAGCCCTTAATTACAGAGGCACTTGCTGGTTTTCCCCAGTGTCCCTGTCGTCTCCACTTTTTCAACTGTCTTACAGGAATCTAGCACCTGACACCCTTCATAGCTAAGCAGCTCTTCTTAGTAAGAGACAAAGAATATTACAAAAATCAAGTGATTCAACCACTTTGGAAAATGTTTAAAGGCTTAAGAATCTAAGAAGATGCCAAGCTGCTGCTCAAGCCCTCTCTAACCCTTCCACTGCCTATATCCCAGCCCCAACAACTGCTCGCTGCCCAGACGCACATCTCCCACCCTTGCAGAGATCGCAGTTCGTTTCAGGGTGGGTTTGGGTTTTTGGTGGTTTTTTGTTTGCTCAGGTTGTGGGTTTGTTTTTTTTTGCTAGCGGATTCCTGCCAAGGGCCATGCCTTTCGGTCGAACCTCAAAGGATCGAGCTGGCCCTCCACATTAAAACAGTGGTT